CCTCGGTGAAAGCACCACCGCTGCACTTCGTCGTTACAAAACCAAACATGGTCTCATCCAAGATCCTCTCACCGTGTTGACCATTACACGCTTGGTTGCAAAATTTGAGTTTACTGAATCTATATTGGATTTTCTTGGCAAAAGGAGAAAGTCTCTGAGTAATGAATGCCGTCGAGCAACTTGAGTCCAAGAGCGCCATGGCATCTTGGTCAATAACTCGGGTGTCTCAGTTGACCGGCATTCCCCGCGCCAGCGTGCATCGTATTATGAGACGCCACCTTCATCTCTACCTGTATCATTTCACTTTATTACAAAACATCACGGAAGCTGACTAGGAGCAACGTGTTACATTCGCTAACTGGCTGCTGGATATTGAAGAAATCGTTCCCAACATTTTATGGAGCGATGAGGCAAATTTTTCTGCGGATGGCATAATCAACAAACATAATTGCGTGATATGGTCCCGTGAAGCTCCTTACGAGTACCTCACCCATAACCTCCATTCCCCTCATCTCTGTGTGTGGATGGGATTCTCCTCAAAGTGCCTCCTGCGTCCCTTTTTCTTTGATGCTACGGTTTCCGGCGACATATGCTCAATATGCTGCAGATGCATGTTATTCCGTGACTCAAGCAGCACAAGAATTCATCAACCGTCTTTCAACAAGATGGCGCCCCACCACACTACTCAAATCAAGTGAGAGCAATTTTCTGATGAGAGAGTCATTGCTCGTGGATTTCCAAACTTTTGGCTTGCAAGGTCACCCGATCTCACCTCTGGATTATTGGTTTTGGAGAATGATCATGGCTCGCGTATATCATGAAAACGAAGAATTTTGGGTTAAGAGCAAGAATTGAAGAGGAGTGTGCACGAGTGGCGCTTGAAGAAGTTAAACATGTTGTGTCTCACATCTCATACCGCCTACAACTAGTTATGGGAGAAAGAGGTGGTTCCTTTCAACATTTTTTATAATGCCAGCTTATTCAAAGTAAACTTCCATGATGTACGTATGTCCACATAAAAAATAATAAATGTTTAAATTGATATTAAAGTTTTAACATGGGTCTTATTTTTTTGTATATTATGAGACACCCTGCACAACTGTTGTGGACTTTCGAAGAGATGTTAGCAAACTTTTGAATAGTTTCCTTTATGTAAATATACTGCGATATCTCGAATATCGTTCCAACTGAAACATGAAGCGGCCTGTGTGCAGTACATTCAGTTGTAGAATATCATAAACGAGAGATTCAGTTGAGTCTCTCGTGATAACCAAATTGATTTTCAAGTGAGTGTGTTCCTCGTGGACACAAGTTGTTGTTTGGATACTTTGTTGGTGCATCAGTAGAAAAAAAACTGTCGCAAGCTATCGATTTCCCGAGTACAGAAGACAAACTTTCGCGCAAGATAGAGTACCTTTCTGGCGGTTTCTCGGCAATGTGTGGCCACCAAAATGAGTGTGGTCCATAAACCACCTCCAGGTGGTTTGGAAATTGGACTGCAGTCAATACGGCATCCATAAAGTAATTCCATATGCAGTATAGTCCTTAAGTTGTTCATATGCGAGCTTTTTTTATGGACTGTTGATTGTGTGGCACGTACTATTTATCATTCTGCGATTGCAAGCAAAGGACATAGTACACTGGTTGAAGTGCATTCACGTCAAGGTTCCGCACACACTGAAGATGAGGGAGCTTTAGTTTGCTGATAGACGGTCCTCGGACAAAACAGGATGCTAAAATAAGATTGCTGGATCCGTCCCCTCAAGGCTCTGAACAGTTGGATATGCAGATGTATCGTGCAGATGCACGATACACTTTATTCTTCTAGTATGCTTACGACGTAGATACTACTTGCAGCAGAAACAAGTAACCTTAGTGACTGTCAACACCAGTTATGTTGCTTCAGTATGCTTCAGGCATTTTGTTTAGAAAAAACAAGGAACATGTGTGTAACGACGCATACGGAAACTGTAAAATCTGTTCCCAGAGTCAGTAACAAGTGTACCTGTCCGGTGGCATAAAGTTTGTCATTTAAGTGGGTTTTTTAAGGTGGCAAGTCATTGTTCCCTATACCAGGTTGGTGCATCTCCAGGGCGTTGACAGCCCATTTGAAAATGTCAAAGGCGTCGTGAGGAAAGTCGTTTTTACGACCAGCTGATTATTGACATATGAAGATCTGCTGTGAAATAGTCAAGTCACCTTTCAAACGGCTGCTTTGGGAGGCTGTTTTTTCACTAAGAACAACTCTAGCGTTCTTCATCATTTAAAATTGACACGATATCAATAAAGGATCAATAATTTACACACCTGATGGTTAAAAAGGACGATGGGGTTCCAGAACGTTTTCTGACTTAATTGGATGGTTAAAGGTCGTTGATTGCAGACTCACGTGTCACGTGATGAGCTTCATCCGCAGCTCCCACTAACTAGCCTTGTATTATCCTCGAACTGTGGAGTTCAGTTCACGTGTGCAGACAGTTGGCTTATCGGGTGGCTCCCGGTCTGTCCGCCAATCTTGGCTCGCAGATTACCCGTCATCACTCGAGGAGAAAAAATTAATGTGTAATTGGTCGGGTGGTCCCACTATCCGTGTGTTCCGTCGTACAGTATGTGAAGAGCATATTCAACCTATGACTTGACTGGACGTCCTTACAGCCTCTTCATCTGTCCTTTCTCGAAGTGTCACATCACGGTCACTCCATCACCGTTTGGATGCTCTAAAATCACTCTAGCCGTGGTTAACATCGCTATCCCAATATACTCATGTCCAAAGGAATATTCATGGAACCACAGCTCCATGTATCATATGTAGCTGCGTGCAAACCTACTTATATTTCTCACAGTAGTATGTGTAATATACAATATTTCTAAAGATCTCACGCTATTTCAAAATCGTTCTACCCCACAGAATTCATATTTTCCTATGCACCATGTTCCTATAGGCTGCAACCTGTTCAGAACAGCAGAAAGCGTACCTTAGACCGAGCAAGCAACGTTTTTTTCTGGAACGAAATTCCCCTCCTTCGACAAGTACATTCATTCGCAAATCAATTTAGTTTTCACGGGAGACTCAAGTGAATCTCTCAGTGATGATGTTCTTCACTTGAATGTGCTGCACAAAGACCGCCTCAAGTTTCGGCTCGTACGATTTTTGAGATATCGCAGTGAAGCATCGTTGTTGACCACTGATGTCATGCTGTCGATGATGATAATGATGACATCGCAGTATATTTTCATAAAGAAATCACTCACAAGGTTGCTGAAGACTTTTCGACAGCCCACGAATATCATGTTAACTGAAACATGAGGCGGCCTGTGTGCAGCTTATTCAGTTATAGCATATCATAAAGGAGAGATTCAATTGAGCCCCTCGTGAAAATCAAATTGATTTGACAATGAGTGTATTTGTCGAAACCAGTCCAATTTGGGTTCAAGTAGAACATAAGGTTGACGGAATCTCAGGGACTGCGCCTACCTGATGAGCGCCAAAAAGGGCGAAACCGGTCCTAGCGGCCTTATGAGTAGTACATTACGAATATACATGTATTGCGAAATCTCGAATATCGTAGCAGTTGAAACATAAGGTGTTGCACGTTCAGTTGCCTGGAAACATCACAAACAAGAGATTCGGTTGGGTTTAAAGCGTGTCTCTCACAAAACCAAATTTGTTTGCAAATCAGTGTGTTTCACTGATTCCGTGCGGTTTGGATTCAAGTTGAACATAAGGTTGACGGAAACTTGGGGAGCCCGGAGAATGACGAAACCGGTCGTGGGCTGTCGAAGATTTTATCAGCAACCTTGTGAGTAATGTATTAGTTTTCTTTATGAAAATCTCCCCCGTTTTGGTTTGTGACTATAGATTGTCGGAAAAATTCCAAAACTCATTTATTCCTGCCAAGTTCCAGCTGGATGCATATTCACCCGATCTGGTAATGTTTGCCTGACTCGTCTACCGATTTCCATCAGTGACGCTAAAAACCGTGCAAAAAACTGATGACTAGTTGGCAAGCAATACTTTACTTTACTTTACCGTTAAATTAGAAAATTGAAGTTGCTTGGCTGCCATCCCCTCAGAAGAGAGCACAACGGATGAGATATTATCGGGCTACTCAAGGCCTGATAGGAGCAGTACAGATGCCGGGTTCGAACCACCGACCCACCGGTCATTAGGTTCGCGTTTTAACCGCTGGGCGACCTCAGGCTCTGAATAAGTTGGAGCGTTGAAATTTGACTCAATAAAAGTGAAGCCAGGCACGGTCCGTTGAACTTTAGTGAAGCCAGGCACGGTCTGTTGAACTTTGACTACTGTATTAAATCTAGAACGTTGAAGGTTTTGTGGGTCAGGCTCGCCATGCCGATAACTTCGGAAGAGAGATGTTGGCAGTCTACACAGCCATCTTTTGTAAAAAAGATAGCAATTTGCCACATCCGGGGCAAAGCGCGCACTACTTGTTTGATAGTTAGTCGTATAAACCGCAGATGCTCGGCACTTTCTCGCATCTTGTCTGAGTAACATCCAACTGAGAAATATCTATTCACAATTTAAGCTACTAACCTGTAGACGGATTATTTGGACAGAATGTCTCCTCATGATTGTGAGGAGTTCGATTCAAGCTGACATTTTGACAGAATATTGTGAACCTGTCGATAAAATCTTCGTGACGGTAATAAAATGTGGTCTACGATGCCTTCACCTTAAGTGTGGAAGAAAAGTTGTGGTGTATCTGGCTTTTTTTTGACAAAAACTGTTATGTCCTTTTGGATTTCGAGAGTAATTTTGCGGGCTCCTGGACTGGACGAGATCAAGGGCCTCTCTATCGTCTATTACGTTGACATTTGAGATTCCCCACGTTTATTCTGTCCGCATGTGTAACCCCCACCCCCCTTTTAAGTTTAGTGCGTGTATATGAACTGGCGTTTGTTTGTCCTTACCTCTTTACTCATTTGACCTTGAGGTCATCCAGCCATTTTGAGGCCGACTTTGTGTACGAGTGACTGTCTCACGTGCGAGCCTGTTTGCTCATTTTGTCTGTACTTTTGTATTCCAAGAAGACCATTTGTTTTGAACGAGTATTTACTGTCGAGGTTTGTATATTTTTTGAATTGATGTCTTAGGTTAATAGTACCGTATAGAAACCCAGCTCCGACTTTATTTTGCCTTCCCGGAGGTTCTGGTACAACGCGTCACTCGAAGATGCCGTTCGCAAGTTACAGACTATTCAGTTATTACAATCTGTTCGGTTATCAGAGGTTACCGGTTTTTTCTTCTGGGAAGGGTTTTATCCCCATGTGCGTAGATCCCATTGTTGAAGGTCTCATACATGCCATCATCCGAATTTCTTGAAGGTCTCATACGTGCCATCTTCCGAATTTGGTTGAAGTTCCAAGTTCCAAGCAAGGTAGATCTAACCAGAGACACCTCGTCTGTCCGCACTTTTAAGCAACTATCTTCAAAACTTCGACCACTTGATCGACGCGTGTGTGTACGTTCCTAGTGTTGCATACGACAATATAAAGCTTTCCGGAGTCGCATACCAAACCTCAAGGCTGAATGATCGAATACAGGTAATAAAAAACAAAGCATGTATGACTTGATCATGCGATGATGAGTCAAACACGCAACACGGGAACCAATGCGATCTACCTCAAAAAGAATATTCATTTGATGAGTTAAACACGCAACACGGGAACCAATGCGATCTGACATAGGTACATTGTTACCCTCAATGGTGTCCTGGATATCATCTCCTTGTTCTACCCTGTCATTGGAGATCACCAGCGTTCCCATCCTTGATCACACCGGGATTTCCTCTCAAATTAGTCGACGTGCAAAATAATGGCACTCGACGTCAGCATCTGGCGACAATTTCACCTCTTTCTGAAAGACCGGACCTTTCTGCAGCTGAAATTTGTGTGCAGTTTGCTTGAGAATACATCAACTTTGTTTTTTGGCCGATCGATCACCAGTTCATCAAAAATTTCGTGACAGATAGTCTTTTGCATGCTTCCATCCTGTCTACCAGTTCAAACGTGGTGATTTATGCAGGCTCAGTGCTGGAGTTAGATTTGGGAAATTTGCTTCGAGTGTCAAAGTTTTAATCTGGCAGCGTGTGTATTTCGGGTGATTCCTTTGCTTTCTGTCCTCACGGTAGCCGCACCAAGAAAGGCCAGTCACATCAAGTCGAGAGGAGAGCTCTTTCAAATATGCTCAGCAACTTAGTGGCAGCTCATACGGCAGTTTTCTCTCTGAGGAAGGCCTTCGCTGTGAACTTCGACACACCAGCCGACCGCCAGAAGGCTCTGGGGCGGTTCAAGACGGCCAGGATGGCACCTGAATGTGACCCGAACGTGTCCTCCGCCGGCTTTGCCTGGATTAGATGGACTGCTGTGCCAGTCCAGTGCTGTCTGACCAGTTTGTCGAAGGTGTGCAGCCTGCGTCTGGTGTCCAGTTGCGGTTGGTGAGAGCAAAAGGCCGGCTGGGGGTGTGGGAGCTGGCACGGCAGTTGGCCGAGGCACCACTGGCCACGTTGCATTCTCAGGAGAAGAGGGTTGGCTCACCAGTGGACGAACTTCAGACCAAGGTAGGCCACCTAGCTTGCAGCCATCAAGACGGAATCGCGGTGACACGCTCGAACAAGCGTGTGCTTCAAGTATGGTAGGTCTGGCCACTAGAAAATCAATGTCGTTCTACCTGACCACTTGACTTGATTTTAGGATGAACGCAAGAGGGCTATAAATACGGAAATGTGAAGTTAGGCAAACATGCAGTGATCTTCTGAAGAGCGTTGTCCGCCAAAACGGTGCAAACTAACAGCTCACTTTACTATGGTTACCCCCGAAACAATAGATTTGACTAGTTAAGGAAAAATATTGAAAAAGCAACAAGTGTTCTTAATTTTAGTATCAATGTGTTCATGTGACTCCAAATATATGCTGTAAATCCAACAGCATAACGTTACTTCCATCATACCAGACGTTATTGGGATATTTCCTCCTCAAAAAATTTGAGAGCACTTGATGATCATGTCATAGTTAGAACGCAATAACTTCATTGACTATCCCCACACTAGTCTACCTAAATTTCAGCCCTTTCAAACCGCCGCGACATTTTCGTTCCTGTGATTTGACTACTCATTAGTAACTTAAATTGTGAACAGATATTCCTCAGTGGGCTGGGAGTTAGCGGTTAACAGGATGGACACCGCCTGGAGTGAGAAGAACTTGAGTACTAATCAAGGATTCTTTGCTGTGGTACTCTAAAACATGGATAAAAAAAGTAGGGGACAATGGTTGTTTCTTGTCATCAGAAAACTTTGCGAAGCTGAAAAAGTTTCAAGCGCATGGTCACATGAATTCGCGGGTACAAACTCAAAAACCGGAAGGAAAGGGGACACAGTTCGGCACACCATGGGTTAGCACAGATACTGTCACAGTCAGACTGAGTCGTGATGTCAAGAAAGCTTTTGATCTGGTGTCAAATTGTGGAATTTCGATAGTGTCTGCGGTCAATAGCCGTCAGAATTATACCGTCAGCAACTGGTTTGGGAATAAACCGGGTACAGAACGCTGAAGACCATACCACTGGAGGATTCAGCCGAATGAGGCGCAATTGTGCTCGAGTAGGAATCTCTCCAACCCGCACTCAGAGGAACGTGTACCGCTGGAAAATCACTCTGCCATAGGACCAACATATTTCTCTCCACTCGAGCATGCGATTGAATACGGGGGTCGGTCAGACAGTCCTCCTTTCAGAAGGACCCTGATGGTACGGCTTGAACCGAAACCCAAGCACAAGCTAGAGGAAATTTCAAAACAAAACTTTGACGGTCTGCAGTCTGTGCATCTTTAGTTTGGAGACCAAGATATAAACATGTTTCTCCCGATAACGCTTTTTCAACCTTCTGTTTTGCATAGTGCATGGATAGCGGTGAGCCCGGAACAGCTTAGATCATTTGGAATGCCGTCATCTGACTAAACTTTGCTTCAGTATGAAACTAGCAAAGTGAAACCAATGACTCACTGAAGTTCGATTTTTGTGTGTGAACTCTACACTGTATTGTTCTACTGACCACTTCGGCATAAAAATATGAATAAAAAATTTGGCATGCTGAGGAGGAAACCCTCTAATATCGTGATTTGACTTTGTGTGAAACGTAGAATGGACTCATACTATCGTGTACATGTACAAATATATTGTCTATTTGGATGACGTATATTGCGAACCACCCAATAAGTGTGCTCAGTTGTCCCTTTTCGGGTTTACCCCCGAATACGCCTGCCCAAGCGAGCACCGGTGGCAATTTAGAATGGACTCATACTATCGTGTACATGTACAAATATATTGTCTATTTGAATGACGTATATTGCGAACCACCCAATAAGTGTGCTCAGTTGTCCCTTTTCGGGTTTACCCCCGAATACGCCTGTCAAAAGTGGGCCCAAGCGAGCACCGGTGGCAATTCCCTCTTTCGGTTGATAAGTCTCATTACTAGAAGTAAACGGTACTTTGTAGGTTAGAAGTGGCAACAATTCATTCAACTTCAAGACAGGTGTGATATGTCCCAGGGATACGTAAAACTAGAAACCGGGCGGGAACACAGAACTCCGGGAGAAATCTCGTTCGATAGATTGCTGTATACTTCCGATTCCGAAAACCGGACGCAAAAAACACACGGTAGTCAACCCAACCAAGAAAGTGAGTGCCACGAAAATCACATAGTTTTCTTTGAAATGTGCTACTCATAGGGTTGCTGAAAATCCGTCGAGAGCCCACAACCAGTTTCGCCCCTTTTGGGGCTCATCAGGTAGGCGCAGTCCCCGAGTTTTTGTCAACCTTATGTTCTACTTGAAACCAAATTGCACGAAATTAGGAAATGCCCATATTTGCGAAACTGAGAGATTCAGCTGGGTTCCACCTGAGCCTCTCGAAAAACCAGATTAGTTTGCAGATGAGTGTATATTCATATAGTTTTCCTCTAAAGTGAGCGGACCCAAAGAGTAAAGGATACAATGGGTTGGAAGCAGTAACATCTGTGACCTTCACCTCAACCCTGGTCCCTTCTGATTGGTTCGTCCAATTTGCGCGCACACATTAAAAACCGCACCGTTTTTGCCTCTACTTAACATCATTCAAGCCAGTAAACTGTTTGGAATTACAGAAACGATACGGCATATACGATGGGGAGTTTCTGTGACTATCCCTATCTGCTTGGCCGAGGTCATCCAACATTTTCAGGTAACGCTTGTAATCACGACACTGCCCCCTCCTGATCCAACTTCCTAACTGCGTTGTTTAGTCTGATGAAAAAAGTCTTTTGAGGAGATGCCATTGACCATGTTGTTGAATCTAACTTGGCCTTATGCTAATTCTGCCATTCATTTGCTTACTCCGTCTATGTACTTTTGATCGCCAGTTGTTTTGCTTATTCGCACCCGCCACTCACATTGCCGCAGAGACCGTCGTTTCCGACACTTGTGTATTGACCTGTGTGCCTGTGTGTGAATGTGCGCTGCTGACCTACTTACCCATGTGCGTTCATGTCCCGTTTGCTGAGCCTGCCTTGACTTCAGCGAATATACACTCACTTGCAAACTAATTTGGTTTTTTCGAAGGACTCACCTGGAACCCAGCTGAATCCCTCGTTTATGATGTTCTCAGGCAACTGAATGTGCGAAACCGGATGGGCGAAACCGGTCGTGGGCTGTCGATAGATTTTTAGCAACCTTATGAGTAGTACATTACAAGGATATACTGCCTTGACTTGTTTTCTCATGGGCTCTGCGTGATCGCACGTCCAATGCGAATCACGAGACCGTCGGATGGAACCCACGCTACTGAGCCATCATTCCGCTCGCCGTTGTTTGGTGTGCGGCGGACGTTGATACTGCGCTGTGCCGGTCAGTGAAGGACCTGTGAACTTGTTGACGCTACGAACGTGAACAACTGAGGTTTTTTGTACACATTTGCTTACCTTAGTGTAAATAGTACCGTAGAATTACGAACCCAATTCTTCCTTTTGATATTTGGGATTGTCAAACCTACAGGTCGCTCAAATTTCCGTATCGGGAACCTCAACACATGTGTTCTAAAGAAGTTTGGGCGATTGGATACACACCACCTTTTGGTTCTTCAACACCCACCCCCTAAAAACCCACACACAGAACAACTTCGCCTATAGAATATACTCATACTCAGGAGGGGATCTCATGGTATGTCTGTGGAGCTCTTCCTGCCCGTTAGTATTCCAAATTTTCTTCTGTTTTAACCAGGTGTGAAACCGCTGAGGAAGCCAGACCCAGACGAATACTACCCAGATGTTATCTGAACCCTTTGAGCAACGCTACGCACCTAAAGTAGGACTGACACGTTTCAGTAAACTGTTTTTTTACCTTGCTCCAACTTTAGATCACCCATCAGGTGAGTGGGGTACGGTTTGCGGAGTATACGCAATATAATCAGTAGTATTGTGTGACTCGGTGGGTCTTCTGTTGTCTCAACATGTCATTATTTACACACACTCACACACACACACAATTTAAACCACCTCAGATTGTGTCTAATGACGTGGCTGAAGAACCCTGGTGAGCCAATTAACATACGCAACTCGATCGCAATGGGTCCCAAACTCAGGCTGCACATCACCCTTGTTTTCATTGTGACGATATCTTTGCAAGCTCCGTGTAGAAGTCACTCATCAGATCACGCGTCACAAACACTCAAACCACGTGACAATTCCTGTCCCACTAACAGTTGATGACCCTCATAGTGCTTCATTTACGCATTACGTTTCGTTCCACACTACAATACACACCAGCCGAGTTAGTCTTCGGTACATCACTACGAATCCAAGGACAGTTTTTCACCTCAGAATCTAGTTTCCCTTTGACACCCAACTGAAAACGCATATGTCGCGTCTACGCTCTTAGTCTCCGCCAATCGTTAACAAACCGTTCCATGTTCCTCCTGATCTCTCCACTTGTGAGCACGTTTTTATCCGCTGTGATCGCGTCTTTATGAGGGTCCGTTCAATGTTATAAGTCATCACACCAGATAATTCGCCATTCATTCACGTGATAACGTTAGTATTGATCGCCTGAAACCGGCTTATAGCATTTCAAGGCAATCCAGAGGAGTACTTGTTAAATTTACTACAAAAGCATTTTGGTGATTAGCCAAACTTCCCGAGGTATCTATTTCTGGCTTGGATTAACCATTGTGTTCCAAACTGGAAGTTTGATCCGAGGGACAAACGGCCATTGTACCTTCAGGAAGTGAACAAGTCTGGCTTTCGAGAGTAGCTGGTTAGGTAAGGTTAGACAGGAAATGTTGTAGAAAGTGCTTTGTGGGGAGCAGTGAACGGCGGACACAATGACAGCGCAGTGAGGGGAATGTCAACTGGACAGAACACAATTGAAGGCCTTAACTTTGCCCTGAATCGGTCTTTCTCCGTCATCGGCTGGAATATTTGTGATCGAGACACCATCCGGTCTATGATCATCCATGCGTGAGTCTCGAGGTTTTCTCAGTTGTTGAAAATGATCTCCGTTGAAAATAGAGAATTTGTGTAGGACACCTCAGTAAATGTTGTCTGAAGGGCGTTGCATGTCGTTTGAGATGTGCGTACCTCCTGTTATAGGCGTTCATCTCTGTTGAATCGTTGTCTGATCCGCGGAACGGTGAGGTGTGTAGGGTTGTAGCTCGAAGTTTTTCAAAGACCTTTCAATAAAAAAACGTGCTGTTTGAGATGGCGTACCTCCTGTTATAGGCGTTCATCTCTGTTGAATCGTTGTCTGATCCGCGGAACGGTGAGGTGTGTAGGGTTGTAGCTCGAAGTTTTTCAAAGACCTTTCAATAAAAAAACGTGCTTTCATTCCACTGGCAAGTAGCTGAAGTTCGAACAAGTGTGTAAAAAGGTCAAATCGGTTGAAAGTATTAGCCACCCGTTTGAAAATTAGAAAAACATGTCCTGAATGTCAGACAAATGACAGACAAGAATTGAAAACTATTTGTCTCCAAGTTATTCAAGGTCGGTTTTTACCTAATTGGTCGACCCAGACTACCGACCACTACGAGGAAATGAATTAGGAAACTACAGAACTCAGAGACGGACAAACTAAAACGAACAAACAGACAATCAGTTTGAAGTATCGAAACTGCCAAAAATAGGAACCACCAGCTCAACCAACCAACCTCAAAGAAGGAAGACTACAACGCAACACTTACCAGGAATGGACCAATCAGAAACGGACGTGAAACACCCTAAACAGCCATTCAACAATCCAGTGGAATACGGGGCCTACAGACTGCAAAGCTGCGCAAATTACGATCAGTCCAATAATACTACAAGGATGGCAGGATATTAGATATATAAACGCAGTTGGGTACGAAAGAATCACTCACTCAACTGCGCACTGACGATGCCCTCTCGACTGGAGACGAGACGTTCGGAACGCAATTGCGAACAGATCAACCAGCATCTGATCAGCCGACAGTGAACACAACCGAGCCACTTACATTTCCACAAATTGACTTGTTGTTAGTTCATGTGTGGCTAAATGTGAGCGAACCTTCAAAGGTATCGTGGTTGGTAAGGCAGGTTAGATGTTCAACCTGCAAGCGGGCCTGTTTTCAGAAAACATCTTCATGAGCGAACCTTCAAAGGTATCGTGGTTGGTAAGGCAGGGTAGATGTTCAACGTGCAAGCGGGCCTGTTTCCAGAAAAAATCTTCGTTGATTATCCACAATATGGACCCAAAAACGGAGGATGTATACACGCACATGTGTATGATAGTTGGCTTGACACACGAATATGCTTGTCAGAATTGAATAGATCATCGGGAGCTTGTGAAAACGAGTAGAAACGGAGACGAATGTGCTACTGCAGGCAAGTCTGTGGGTCCCATTAAAACCTGAGGCAATAAGATCGGTAGGCGAACTTGAAAACGCTGCTGACAGCCAGCCTATAGGTGTTGGCAATGCAATGAAAACTCTTCAGTCCGTCGGTAGTATATCACGCCCTCCGCTGCACAATTCCAACAACTACGTCTCGGGCTGCCCAGGAAGAACTGTTTTGTCCATCATGAACCATGATAAACTGGAGCGAATGCACTCAATTTATCAGCTGACACTTTGCTTATGGAGAGTCATCATGATCATCTGCTTTATCAACCTTGAACTTATCGTGCATTGGTTGCAACTTCCACGATTTCGTTCGACGATGACTTGGTGAGATGGGGCAGTTAGTTACGCATTTTATCAGGTAGTCGATATAAATGACGTGGAAATATACGACTTTCAGTGCAGTTTTGATTGAAAATTTTTGGTAGGGAGCTTTGCACTGAACACACTAGTGGGTATTTTTGCGAAATATATTCATTTATACACCAATTTGGCTTCTAGGGCGCATTCAGTGGAAGCTGTCGACTATGATATTCCTCAACTGAACGTATCGCACAAAGACCACATTGCGTTTGAGCTGCTGCGGTATTCGAGACATCGCAGTTTCTGAAACCCCTCTGACAGCCTACAGCTGGCTCAAAAGGCAGAAGCGGTCCCTGAGTTTGCCGCTCTTGTTGGACCACAACTGCATTTACTTTCATGGAAAAGTCACACAGTTTCTTGATGATGTTCAGCACTCTCGTTATTTCCGAAAATAAAAACGATCGCATCGAGTTTATAAATGTAGTGAGGTTTTATCCGTGCAATTACTAACCAAAACAGATTTTAAAAAGCTTTAGAAATTTGAAGGTCAAACCATAGCCTTGTCGAATCGGATGTTGTAATCCAACGTTTCGGTTGCCACTGGCAACGGATTTCTACAAGTTATTTAAAAAGACGTTTAAATTTTTGTCTGTCGTTGAGAACCTCGTCACCCAAATCAGTGGTTTCACTGAAAATCTGTAAAACCAACAAACCGTAGTGGAAGCACCAGCGATCAATACATCCGAATTGCGTCAAACGTGTTACTGGCGCCAACATTTTGCCTATCTGGCCGGGACTTACGGCTGACCAGATGTCAAGCTGGAATCTCAACAGGGGCGACACAACAGCAGATGGAGACGCTTTCTTGTCAAACCAAACACGCACGTCTGGTTGTCAAATGATCCCGGGAACACACCAATCAGAAGATATGATGGCGGACCCAACGATGAACTTGGCTCACGTTTACAGGATTGTAAGATCCCTTAAAGTGTTGTGTGAGCGGCAACCGGATAACCGGAATACTCCTGCATCTGAGCCTTTAAATTTCTCTGTTAGAAAGCACCTGACACTCAATCTAGTTCGTTACCATCCAACAGAAGTTTGATCAAGGCGTGCGCAAAACTTGTGAGTGCGCCTCTAACGGATTTGCCCTCGTGTTGAAAATGGGATATCTAATTGGAGGATAGGTCTTAGGCAGTTTAAACTTCAAGACTTAATGCACCTTTGTTGTATTTGAAAAGAAAAAACGAAAGACTGTGTAGCGAATATACATTCATTTGCAAACTAATTTGGTTTTTTTTCGAGAGACTCACCTGGAACCCAACTGAAGGGCAAAACCGGTCGTGGGCTGTCGACGGATTTTCAGCAACCTTATGAGTAGTAAATTACAAAGAAAGACCATGTACTTCTCACACGTCGAAGTCCTTCTTGTCATCAGAAAATGACGGGAATATGAAGCTATTCTATACACATTATTAAAGATCTAGCTCAGTAGTTAGAGCGTAAACGCAATGGCTGGACGTTTCGTGGTTCGAACCCACTCTCACTATCTTAACTGGTTGTGTATGGGCTTGAAAACCTGGCAGAAGCTCAGCTCTCGTGCTTCCTTCGGGTAGCATGGAAGCCAGGCACCGAGCAATTATTACTATCCTGTTATTACATATTGATACGATAAGAACAATTAGTGAAACAAGCATTTAATGGAACAGGAATTACGTATCACTCTTACTTTGATTCGCAGCTAATCTGTGCCGTGAGACTACACAGTAACGTATCCAACTGCTCCAATTTCCCTCGGATTTTGCACCGTTTCAGTCTTGAATATTGTGTTTGGCTTACTCCACCCCTCGGTCGCTAGTTAGGCTCATCGATTTGGACACAGTGGTCATTCTCTCACTGTCCCAATAAGCATAACTGGATCCCCCTTTAGGTTCACCCGTAATATGAACCAACCAGACTCTCCGGTTACTAGGTTTGAAATCAACGTCCAGGAGAGGGAGTGTACAAGTACCATATTGTTGACCTCAGGGTTGAGCTGAGACACCGGATCAGCAAACTGCCAAAAATTTCCTTAAGTTCAGGTGTTTGCTTATGGATGAACTCACATGTGGCCACAGGTGAATTAAAACACCAATCACGCTTCCGTGAAACGCGTACCCTGAGTAATGCTAGCGGGAGACATTGTCGTAATGCGATTTTTACACAAGGAAACGAGGATGACTTTCCAACTAACGTATCTTCAGAACCTCTTTCTTTCACGTTTGGCTAAAACCGAACAAGGTGACATCTCTGTAAAGATGGTTACTGCAGTGTTATTGAGGCGAGAGAGGGGTACAAAAGACTGGCAGCGCTCTCCGCAAATATTGACACGGAGTTGGGGACCCACCATCTAACCTCAGATAAACTGTGGCTCCGATTATTCCGTCCACAAATCTCATTTATTTTAGTCAGTATTGGACACCGAACAAAATTGCAGTTGTAGAATATCATAAACGAGAGATTCAGTTGAGTCTCTCGTGAAAACCAGACTGATTTGCAAATGAGTGATGTATTTCTAGAAAACAGTTCAATTGGGGTTCAAGTAGAACACAAGGTTGACGGAAATCCGGGGACCGCACCTACCTGATGAGCCCCAAGAATGGCGAAACCGGTTGTGGGCTGTCGAAGAGTTTTCAGCAACTTGTGAGTAGTTTTCTTTACAAAAGAGGATGAATTCAAAGTGCTGTACTACCAGTCACGTAGTGGGCCAATCAGATTACAATACGTTTGAAGTTCCAATCAGTGCAAACCCACAGTTATGTGCAAACCAAATGAGTGAAAGAGTGCTTTTCGCACTGCACAAAACCACGGTAGTCCAAGTGCGCTAATTGGTTGTTAATCAGACCATCTTTCGATCGATTTGCAAATGATTTCTTGACTTAGAAGGGAATATAGTCACTGAACGTTTGGGTTTGTATTTCCTCTGAAGGGTAGTTGAAAACTCTACTCTGATTGGTTGCTGGAGATTAACCTCACATTTACTTTAATGGATAATTTTCAGCTTGTTCGGCTGACACGCATCTGACTGGTTCACTCGATACCATCGATTCAGCGGTTCTATTCCGTAGTTTTGATTGGCTCCTTTATGGTTCTTGTGTTTTGTATTCCGGTCGGCTTTCCTGGAATTTGATTGGTTGAACAAACGCCTGTTTGTGGTTTTTCTCTTCGTTTGATTTGATTGGTCTATTTTCAGTTTTCCTTGCGTCCTGGTCTCATTCTCTGAATTCTGGTTGGATCAGTAGGCACTTTTTTCTGGAGCAGCTTTTACTGCATTTGGGTATTATCCCCGGTAGTCCACTTCCTTCTTGTTTGTAAATTATTGTGCTCATGATTTTCTTCATCCGATTTTACGTTTTGCGGATGTTTTCTGTTGTTTTTTCTCTGGTATCCCATAGGTGCTGACCTTGAGGCCCCTTGAGCTCTTCTGTCCCCAGATTTTTATGAGCCAAATGGACTTCAATGTGCATTTTGTTAGATTTCTTGGTGGCCTCTGCGGCAAGGTGATTGGCAAGCAAAGCAAATGAAGATTAATAGTACACACCGCTTTCACAAATGTTATCGTTATATCGTGCTTTTGCAGTCATTCTGGAATTGCGGTTGGTTTGACCTCGTACTTCTTTATTGAACTAGCTAAGTTGCATTTCAATTTAAAGGCTTTCCAGCCAGTGCTTCTTAGATGATTGTTCCTCCGGGAGCCTCTTTCTTTGAACTTGGCCAGTGTGATGTTTCAATGCTGCTCGATCATAAGAGAGCAGGACGGTTCACTACGGTACATTACCTTAATGAAACGATTGAGTTATATATATTCTCAAGGTACTTACTACTTTCGATTGGCCTGTTGGCGTCACATCCTCTTACACGAGTAGCTGAGAAAAAATCCAACTGCTCAGGTTAATCACCCTTTTCTTGCCTAGCTGCCCTGCCAACGGGGGGAGGCACCAGTGATGGAATACTGCCAGGGTGCTCTATATAGAAAGGAGCAGTCTAGCTGCTCAGGTTGGGTTCAAACCAGGAATCCCCCGGTCCGTGGGCTGGCGCCTTGACCCTATCTCGAGCCCCTGGGGTAGGAAGAGGCTAGAAATCGGTCGGAGCTGTACCATATCATGGCCGTTTTACGATATCAGCTGCAAATAAATATTTCTGATAGCAGTGAACTAAAGTTAGCAGTGAAAGGGCATTGAACAACTTGTTGGGGATCAAAAATAGCACCAGTAAACGAATCAATAACATTTTTGAAAGGTCTGTAACTCGGAAAAATTGTTCCTCCTCTTCCAAAGAACAATCTGATTCGCATTGTTGTCCAGAGTTTTTCAAAGTCTTTTGGATGGAGCATTTATTACTCTAACGATCTGATACAATTCATTGATATTTTTTGTCAGAACTCGGAGATTGCTCTAGCTTTCTTACACGCAGCCATCTTTGTGAGACTGAGGTAGACAAAGGACCACTAAGGATTGAAAACGATATTGATTTGAGGAAGAAAGCTCTTCGCCGCAAGATCGTGCGTCGGCAAACACCCACTAAGCAGTTACAAATTACTGGACAGGAACTGAACATCCTCACGCGTCTTCTTGAACGTTCATGAATATTCATTGACTATCACACAATCCTAAACGAACGCCGCAAAGATTTACATAGCTTCTGTAATAAACCTCACCTTCCATGAAACGCGGAGAGGTATTACGAGAGAAACACATACTACTCGCATGCCTCATCAGTAGTAGCCGCCGTTGTGTTAGAAGCCCAGGCTGCAATAATGACTATTGATGTGTTCTTCGAGCTCGGCAACTTTTTTTGCAAACTTCTTGCCACAAGTCTCTGTGATTCACTACAAATAGTTTGAATGCGTGGTTTCTACGCGTACACTGATTACTATAGCGTTTGCTCATCCACAAGACTGACTGAACAGTAGGCTATCGGGTACGCATTCCTAATGGCTTGTAGGTTTGTTCATTTCCCAAATGGTTAACAACCGGATGACATTGAGAATGATCTCTCCGGTCCTGCCGCCGCAACCTTTGGTCACCTGTTTCTTGATTTCTCGATCTGATGCTTTGGTCTGACTCAGTGTTGTCGAAACAAGTTCATGGATCGCACCCGACTAAAAATACTTGTGCATAGGGCTAAAAAAAACAAAACACAGCTATAAAAATACCTCTCAACGTCTCTTATTTCGGTAAATGAGGAGCACGAGAGACAATAGCTTCATCAAGAAGACGATATGATCTTGGCAAGCGGTAGTACAAGAGATGAGAGGAAGTTCCCCAATCAATAGTTATGAGCCAACTGACTTGTTGAAAACAACGTTGTTCACACATTGACGAGAGCGTCAATTCATTTGTAACCCATTGAGGAACCTAGTTCAGAAGTCAATAGTGTCCCATAGAATCCAGGTGGGGGCACGGGTGCTTCACTGCGTTACACACATGTCAGCTTATTTGAATAAAACTACCCGGTACGCCGAATCGTCGCAGCGGACAGCGCGCTTGTCTATAATTCTAGGGGTTCTGAGGTCGACTCCCGGGGTGCCGTGTTTTACCGTCGGAGGAGGCACTCGAAAAGAAATGGAGTTGACGCGAAATTGCAGACACAACATTGGCAGTTGTAGGAGTGTAATCCACGCGACTCAAACAAATATGAAAGCTAACGTTGATCCGCATGAGGAATCAACACTGGTTCCAAAAGAACGGTTCCTGTTCGTTGATTTTGGCAACTTTGTGAATAGGTCAACGGGTAAGCAGCAGGCCAGTATTCGCCAGCGCGCATGTGCTAGGTTATGCTGGAGTGACTTCTACGCTGCCATCAGATCTAGCTAGCTGGTTTGAGAGTACATAACCCCAAGGCCTCAATCCCCATAATAAACAGTCGATCGCCCCGTCTCCCTAAGCTTATAGGCTCCAGCTGTAGCCGTATAAAGTCGTCCAATAAAAGCGATAGAAGCGGTACCGTGACTCATGAGCGTGAGAAGTTTTGTGCGGATAGAAGCCCGGCTTGTGGTCGCCAAGATATCCCTACGGATATTCCAACCTTGCTGGGAATCACCATCAATGTGTCAGATGAGAAGTCTCAACTTCCCTACTAGTTGTCGAAAACGAAATCGTTTGACCAAGAGCGTCCAGTTGGCGGTGTAATTAATTCGTACTTGGCATAGAGCAACACTCATTCTCTGATCACGTGGCACACGTGGTCAAACCAGTTTCTCAGAGCTTAGGCACTCCAGATTCCAACGATTCTCATGAGAAGCATGGTACCCATTAGAATGAAAAGCGCGTACAGTACTTCTTGCCTTTCCAGCATGGTTCGGCTCCCCTTACAGAGCGAAAGCGCCCACCTAAGAGGACCAGACATGAACTTTCCGACGGTATAAATAGAGCTCGAAGTACAAGTTATCGCAAGAGTGAAAATCCTATCATCACGCAATAGTTTCGTTACATGGATGGCCGAACAAATAACCTGTTTCACCATACATGCTTACCTCAACTCACTTGGTCAGAATTTCATCATCATCATCATCATCATCATCATCATCATCATCATCATCGCCAGCACCATCGTGATCTTCAACATCATGGTCGCCATCATCATCATTATCGTCATCATTCTCGGCACCGTCGACAGCAACAACAGATGAAAGCACTGGTGCTCCATTTCCGTACATTTACTTTGAATCCTTACAATGGAAAGAAGAAGGGTATGGACAAGGAGAGGGATCAAGAACTGGGCTTCAATTAGCATCCGAGATGCCTACACCTCCAAAACCATTCGACTAATCAAGATAGAAACTGACAGCGTGAACACACCTGACATCGATTAGCCAGCACGTCATTCATTGTCTCCGGGCAAGCAGACGGGGGGGGTCATCCTAGGAGATAAACAGCATCAGCAGCACCCAAACTTTTCGAAAAAAACATCCTCCACTTTCTTCTGCTGTATCAAATTCTGTCGAATTTTATGCCCACAGACGTCTTTGAGGAAAATACTAACTGTTACGTCAAAAAAAACCCGGCTCCCAATCACCTCATTACGAATTCGCCGGTTCCAGCCAATTTTGTGAGATGTCGGTGGTCAAAGTCCTGAAGATGTCTCAGATACTCGGCTCGAGTTGGCCAAGTCTTGCAGCCAAACAACGAAACAGACCGCATCATTGTTGGAGACAGAGTGCTATGCTTTTTTGACATCACACTTGGTGCACAAATTGGTAAACGCGATTCTGGCTTTTGAGATCCATGCGTTAACTTTGTAGGAGCCAATTCAACTACAAAGAGACGTACAACGTTTTGAAACTTCCCGTTTTTTATTCCTCAAATTGGTCGATCGGTGTATGTGGGGGTTCCTACAACGTCCCACGACTCACCGCTGCAAGACTTCGCGCTGAAAATATTACCTCGAATGTTGATGCGGTTTGAAACGAAACTACCAAACTCAACAAAAAATTAAGTCATCAGAAGGCAGCTTTTCCAACAAACATGTCTTGTTTTGACAATTTTGTAACCAGCCTATGAAGTGTCATGTTCCTCCATATGCATGGATAACAGAAACGACGGGTTCTGTTCCGCCTATGTATAAATTTAACAGAGCAACTGAGCACTGTTTTGAATACTTCATCTCCTGCTGTGACAATCACTCAAATGGTCGATCAGATCTGTCATTTTGGG